TAGGCCGATCTCACTTTCGGTCTAGGAATGATCAGCTCATGGTCCTGACAAACTTAAGTTACGTTATGCTTCACAATTTTTTACTCAAATTGGTACATATTTCAACAACAAAAATAAATACTGTAGGACTCGAAGGTGACCGTTAAGGCCCATGGGCCTCTTGTTTTTTCTTCAAGTTTCAAGCTATACATTATGTCTCAACAGCACGATACTCACATGTTTAAACCTAACCTCTATAATGTTAACCTACAATATGTCCTGCAAGCGGGGGATATAAATTCTTTTTCTGTAGGAATAACAGGATTTTTTGTTAATATTTGATCTAAAGCATCATTGGGTAAAGGCGACCTGATTTTGTATGAAAGGTGGGTCTAAATGTCTCTGGGAGTAGTGTTGACTTGTATATGCTTCTGCCCAGCGACCCAGGGTGGGTCATTAAGTCAGAAACGCATACATGTGTACATGTTTTTTTACGTCTCTGATTCAATATTGGATCTTACACGACTATTGTGGTTGTACGCCTCTTTTGTTATTGCCCTACGCCACATTATATAATCTAATTTAAAGTAATCTTAAGATATATAAGAGGTGAAGCATGTATTTGAAAATCTTACAAAATGAGCATTTTTAGGTCACCTGAGCTTTAGCTCAAGTGACCTATTGCTATCCGTTTTCGTCCGTCGTCGTCCGTCGTCCGTTAACATTTTACATTTCAAACTTAAAGTCAAGTTCTGCTGGGCCGATTGAACTGAAAGTTGGTAGGAATGATCGCCTCATGGTCCTGACAAAGTGTTGTTATTTTTCGGGTCGATCAGAAATCCAATATGGCCGCCACGGCCGCCATTTTGAAAACCTATTTCAAACTTAAAGTCAAGTTCTGCTGGACCGATTGAACTGAAAGTTGGTAGGAATGATCGCCTCATGGTCCTGACAAAGTGTTGTTATTTTTCGGGTCGATCAGAAATCCAATATGGCCGCCACGGCCGCCATTTTGAAAACCTATTTCAAACTTAAAGTCAAGTTCTGCTGGACCGATTGAACTGAAAGTTGGTAGGAATGATCGCCTCATGGTCCTGACAAAGTGTTGTTATTTTTCGGGTCGATCAGAAATCCAATATGGCCGCCACGGCCGCCATTTTGAAAACCTATTTCAAACTTAAAGTCAAGTTCTGCTGGACCGATTGAACTGTAAGTTGTAAGGAATGATCAGCTCATGGTCCTGACAAAGTGTTGTTATTTTTTGAGTCGATCAGAAATCCAATATGGCCGCCACGGCCGCCATTTTGAAAACCTATTTCAAACTTAAAGTCAAGTTCTGCTGGACCGATTGAACTGTAAGTTGTAAGGAATGATCAGCTCATGGTCCTGACAAAGTGTTGTTATTTTTCGGGTCAATCAGAAATACAATTTGGCTGCCATGGCCGCTATTTTGCTACTAAGTTCTAATAGGCCGATCTCACTTAAAATTGGTCTAGGAATGATCAGCTCATGGTCCTGACAAAGTTAAGTTCACATTATACTATTTTTTACTCAAAATGGGACATATTTCAACAACAAAAATAAATACTGTAGACTCAGGTGACCGTTAAGGCCCATGGGCCTCTTGTTTGTTTACCATACAGCCATTTAGGACTCATCAGTGGATCGATGTTAAAAATCTCAATATCCTGAAACATATTTACACTAAATTGGAAAGGGAAAAGTACCCATTAAAACCATTTGAAATGTAAAAAAATTACAACTTTTGGCTCCAACAGATAATTGATACTTACACAAGTGTTTCATGTTAACATGCTAGAATAAATTCAACTTAAAGGCTACAGCCAAGCTCGGGGACTGATAGTCCACCAGTGGATACAAGGCTACAGCCAAGCTCGGGGACTGATAGTCCACCAGAGGACACCCAGCTACAAATAAGCTCGGGGACTGATAGTCCACCAAAGGCCACAAGGCTACAGCCAAGCTCGGGGACTGATAGTCCACTAGTCGACACAAGGCTACAGCCAAGCTCGGGGACTGATAGTCCACCAGTGGATACAAGGCCACAGCCAAGCTCGGGGACTGATAGTCCACTAGTCGACACAAGGCTACAGCCAAGCTCGGGGACTGATAGTCCACTAGGGGACACAAAGCTACAAATAAGATCGGGGACTGATAGTCCACCAGTGGACACAAGGCTACAGCCAACCTCGGGGACTGATAGTCCACTAGTGGACACAAGGCTACAGCCAAGCTCGGGGACTGATAGACCACCAGTGGACACAAGGCTACAGCCAAGCTCGGGGACTGATAGACCACCAGTGGACACAAGGCTACAGCCAAGCTCGGGGACTGATAGTCCACTAGTGGACACAAAGCTACAAATAAGATCGGGGACTGATAGTCCACCAGTGGACACAAGGCTACAGCCAACCTCTGGGACTGACAGTCCACCAGTAGATACAAGGCTACAGCCAACTCGGGAATTGATGGTCTACCAGTGGATACAAGGTAACAGCCAACCTCGGGGATTGATAGTCCACCAGAAGACCCAAGGCTACAACAAACTCGGGAATCTATGGTCCACCAGTGGACACAAGGCTACAGCCAATCTCTGGGACTGATAATCCACTAGTGGACACAAGGCTACAGCAAACTCGGGAACTAATGGTCCACCAAAAGATACAAGGATACAGCCAACCTCGGGGACTGATAGTCCACCAGTGGACACAAGGCTACAGCCAACCTCGGGAACTGATAGTCCACAAGTGGATACATGGCTACAGCCAACCTCGAGTACTGATAGTCCAACAGCAAAGTCAAACACCTTGTTATGTAAAATAATCACTAAAAATACAAAGAAAGGAGGCACCTATTTAAAAAAAATGTAGATGGCTATTAAGGACACTTCAGTGGTACTAAAAGTCAAAACAAAAACAACAATCATGTTTAAGTGATCCAAAACATACATGTATGTACAATACAGCGAAAAGTTAAACGAAACGCACTACACCGAAGTACACCTGAACTTGAAGGTGAATGTGACCTTTAAACTGTGTACAGAAATCTTACCATTGGCTGCTGATCAATTTTCATACTTACAGAGACGAATATACTACTTTATATGTCTCTGATACTAATTACCATTGAATGGTTATAATAATAATAATAAATAATAAATTCTTTTATTTAGACAGGGTAACATATTTAGATTTTCATCTAGTTTACAATATGGCCCTGTAAATGGTTGCATGGTTCTCCATATCATTTAACTCATTTACCCCTGAAATTTCCTAATGATCTATTCCAGCCTTTGATTTGGACGACTTCAAATGTGTCTTAAGGGGTGAATGAGTTAAGGAACATGTAAACCAAGTAGATCACATTACCCCGAAAAATGTGTACTGGGTATATACACGTGACCCAGTATGTAGAGTTGGGAGATGATTTCCAATAATATACCATCCTCTGTAGACGTTAAAAACACAAAACACCATCATAACTTTAGTCTAGGTTCGTCCAAGGATAGTCGTTTATACATGTATATATCAAATTATATGTAAAGTGTTATAAATTGACATTGAATTCGGTAACGAGACACGTAGGCGTAAGATAGTAAAAACGTAACCATCGGTAATTATATAAGTGACCGTTATATATATACCATACTTGTTTTTGTGCTCACGAAATCGGTCATTGACCTTAAATGAGTGAAATGTCGAGACCTAAGACCTCGCATAGTTCCCTTGTGTAAGCTATAATGAACAATAGGACGATATGAGACCTAAACGGAACGTAAGATCCTTGCATAGTTCTTTTGTGAAAGTAATGTCTATAAGGAACAATAGGACAATCGGATGAGACCTAGACAGAAGTTAAAAGCTCGCATAGTTCTCTTGTGTATCAGCAAGCTTTGTAAGGAACAAAATGACGAGACCTAGTCAGAAAGTAAAATCCTCGCATAGTTCTCTTGTGTAAGTAATGTCTATTAGAAACAATTAACAGGCCGATATGATGAGACCTAGACAGAAAATAAAGTCATCTCATGCAAGCCGATCCTTGTGTAAAAGAAGATGTATAAGGAAAGCCAGAGAGATGACAAGGCTTAGATACATATGCAAGACAA